GCAAAATATAGCAACATAAACGTTAATTTTTCTAAAAGTAGTGAAAAATAAATATAAAATGTGTGCAGTCAACCCAATCTCTTGGATCAGAGTGTATGTGTAATATGATTGTCTAAGTTGGCCGTTTACAACCGTTTTTATCATTCCATGTGTTATTTCAATAAGGAACATTACATTGCGTTTGTTTCTAAACAAAGGAGACTGGCTGCAATGATAGTTGGCAAATAACTTTCGGTTTCGATGCAATGGGCGAATCCAGCACAATAGAGCAATCATGTTCACCAAGTAGCTGAGAGGATTTTCCCGTTGGATGTTACCGTTCCTTGTCATTTCTCTGAACGCAAGAAAAGACCGCAGTGAGTGCTTTTTAACAATTGTCATTTCTATAAGAAGCGTCAAGGGGAGATATTCAATTTAATTTGAATAAATTTATTCGACATGGTACAACAGAATCACGTATTTATATAATACCAACATGAGACATATATAAACCGAACAACAATAAGTATATATTCAAACACGTTTCTTTCTTTATGCGTTTTTTTCGTTCATGCTTCTATCTTCGAAATATTTCTTTCAATCAAGGCCTGTTTTCTCAAGAAATTTCCTCACAAAAAAAACACCAACAACAACAAAATTTGCTCTTAATAAGTTTTCCCCTCAGATTAACCGTTCAGCACATGTGAAGATTAACGGATCGATGTTAGTATCGACTTGAAATCTCAGGAATCGCAAAAAAATATAATTTTCCTGTAATGTACTCTTAAAAAGAAGTATTTTAATATATATATATATATTTACAGTTACCCATTCAGGAGATACACAGCGTGAAAGACAGGCTATTAGATAAATGTATAGACTAGCGTATAGCCCGCCAAAAATAACTGGGAAAGTACAACCCCCCAGACTATACCCTAACCTCACATTTCATAGCTAACTGAAATAAATCAATTTTGCGAAATCAAGCTTGACTAACAAAGAGGCAGAAAAGTGCAGCCGAGGTAGTCAAACGTCATTAAATTACTTTGTGAGCCATTCAAAATTAAGATCATTCACGAAATGAATTCATGGCGTATTCATGGAATACTTAATGGTAAAAATAAGTTAGATTAACAACTTCTAATATATATAAAAACCAGTGTGTTTCGGTAATACTACGTTCCAACAATGGCTTTTATGTCATGTTAGTCTATGTACTGAAAGTATAAAATGAAATGTACAGACAATAAAACTGGAAAAACATTTGTTGACCAGCTGGAGTACCCGTCCCCTGGACGGAAGTTATATAAATTCATGATTAATTAAAGGTTAGCTAAGGGCATGAAAAGTTGCTTCCCTTATATGTAACTGTAAAAAAAAAACGCCCATAAAAATTGCAAAACAAATGTAAACCGCAATTTTGCATGTATCTCCGCATGGACCCAACAAACCTTAATGCCAAATTTGGTGAAGATCGATCAACAGGGGGCGAAGTTGTGCTGAAAAACGCCCATAAAAACCACAAAACTCACACTGAAAAATTGTATGTATCCCCCCATGGACCCAATGAACCTCCATACCAAATTTGGCGAATATCCATCCACATCCTGCGAAGTTAGTACATAAACAGTCAACAGACAGTACTATTATATTGTTGCGTCAGCGAGGACACGTGACTAGTATCAC